TGGGTAATCTCCATTCCTTTGATCTCTGCCTATCCCGTGGCTCATTTTAGCCTGAGGAGCTGAAGCCATTCATAGGGTAATACGTCCCAGGCGGCTGGTCAGCCTTTTATAAGGGATGGTTTTCTTAATGCAGTGTCTCTGCTCAGTCTCTGCTCAGTCTCTGTTCAGTCTAATGCATTAAAGCTTGTCTACAGAAGGATCCGAGTGTCCTGCATGTATTTCTTGCTGGCGAGGAATACAGAGCGGGCGCGGGACATTCTTCTTCTTCTTCTTCTTCTTCTTCCTCCTCCTCCTCCTCCACCCTCCTCTTCCTCTTCCTCTTCCTCCTCCTCCTCCACCCTCCTCCTCTTCCTCCTCTTCCTCCTCTTCTTCCTCCTCCTCTTCTTCTTCTTCTTCTTCTTCTTCTTCTTCTTCTATTTCTTCTTCTTTTTCTGGATGGAGACTGGGTCTATTTCTACTTTTTTGGAAGCTAAATCGATCTTGCCTTGCTTTGACCACATGAGTACAGAGGACATGAAGCCACGAGCCTTCTGGGTTTAACCTTTGAGAAGTTTTGCAGCAACTCATGTTTTCCTCTTGGGAAACAACTTCTCTGGAAGAGCATAAGGTGTCTTACTGAATATTGAGAGATACATGGGAAATAAAAAGAGAAATCCAAGCAGCCTCCATGCCAAATGGAATGAGGGTTTGGGAGTCTCCTGCCTCCAACACATTAAGCCAACCTATACATGGAAGAAGAGGTGAGGCGTCCCTAGAGACTGCTGCTCAAGGAGGAGAGTTATGAGAAAAATGAAATGGGCTTTGCTTTGGGGCAGGTGGCTTTCCAAGGTTATATGGCAACTGGAATGAAGTTCTGAAAGTTCTCCCTCCAATAGCCTCTGGGCCATTAACTCCTGCTTCCCCGCCTCGTGGCATTCCTCCATGAAGCCAGAGTTCCTGACTTCTAGAGCTATTTATATTTCAACAGTAAACAATGGTCTTCTTTTCTCATATTCCTTTATACAAGTTATCATTGGCAAAGTGTGCATCATGCCTTTTCCAGTCTGACTCCTATTCAGTTTTTCAAGATTTGGCTCTTTTGCCACTTGCTTTGCGATGTCTTATTGTTTTATCTTTTCCCTCAAGACACATCTCATTCATTACTCTTCTCTCATTGTATTGTATTTACTCCTTGCTTGTTTGTTTAACCTCCTTTGCCTTCATCTGACTATGATTTTTCTAAGTTCCTGGTACCTATAGACAGGTAATGCCATTCAGAGGATTGTGAAATAGAAGTATTAAAGACTCGTAGGACAAGCATAATCATCACGGGCTAGATGAGAATGGCGGGGCTTTCTTTTTTTCTTTTTTCTTTTTTGAGGTCAGCTGGGTTGAGGATGTGGGGTATGGTAGATCACTTACTTAGCATGGGCAAGGGTTTGGGTTCAGCCCCCACTGCTACAAAATAAACAATAACCCCCATCAACAGAAGAAAACTGAAAAGTAAAGAAGAATTCAAATAAACTCAAAGATTTGTAAAAGAATTTTTAACTAGGATATAGAGTAATAGGCATAATCATGACATTATCATACACACTTTGTTTCTCCTGGCCCCCTTTCCCCCATTCTGCTCCTCCCTCTCCCTCCCCCATCTTCCAACACACTTCCTTTTCATGCCACATCCGTTATATCAGTCTTTTTCTTCCCTCCCCAATCATTTCTTAAGATCTCCCCAACAGTTCCTTTTCTAGTTTCATAATCTGCAGTCCCTACAAACATTTGTAAATATGTAAAAATGAAAATCTAGGATCTGCATGTGAGAGGAATGTAATATTTGTCTTCCTATGTCTGGAGTACTTTGTTTGACAGAATACTTTCCAGTTCCATCCATTTTGCTGTAAGTGTTCTGATTTTATTTTTAGATAAATACTACAGTTTCTTACTCATTTGTCTGTTGATAGACATCTAGGCTCGTTCCCTTTCTTAGATATTGTGTATAGAGCAACAGTGAATATGGATGGGAAATATCTCCATGGTATGAGTTCGAATTCTTTGGGTGCATACACACGAGTGGTTTGGGAGAGTCATATGGCAATTCTAGTCTTTCTTGTTGCTTTTGAGAAACAACTATACTGATTGCTGGAGTGTTTTCACTTGTTTCCATTTCAACTAGCAGTAAAAAGGGATTTCCCTTTCCCCACATCCTCACCAGCACTTCTTAGTTTTCTTGATGCTGACCATTCTGACAGTGGTGAGATGGAATCTCAAAGTTGTATTGCTTTATATTTCCCAAATGGCATTTAATTTCTTATTCTCCTGAATTTAGTTATGCTAACATACAGGGTTTATTTGTTTCTGGAGTGCTGAGAGTCGAACTTAGGGTATCATGCAAACTCAGCAAGCACTCCACCAACTGAGAGCTATATCCTAGGTCAGTTCATTTTTAGAGAACATTCCGTTTAGTTCTTTGCCTCATTTACTGATTGGAATTTTTTTAGCAGTTCTTTATTATTTTAGGTGTCAGTCCCCTTTCTGAAGTATTGCTGTTAAAGATTTTCTCCCATACTGTAGCCTGTCTCTTCATTCTGTCAATGGTTTCCTTTGTTGTATGGAAGCTTTATAATGTCATGCCACCCTAGCTGTCAACTCTAGTCTTGGGAACTTAGGTTGGATCACTAATGGTGACTACATGGGTAGAAAGTAGTGAGAAATAAAAGATGTTGTCTTTGAAGGCTCCTTTAAAGATGATGTTTGATCTAATCACCACATAACACAACACTAATCATATTAGGTAATTAATTTACAGCAGATTGATAATAACCTGATGATTGGTCATTCTTTATCATTTGCCTAATAATGTACACACTAAAACAGAAGAGATACAGCCAAAGTTACAGCTAGTGTATTAAATGGCTGCTTTTGATGCTGCATACACACTAGAAAGTGCTTTGTGTGGAGTGTACCTTCTTGCTGGAGAAGACCAAAACAATACTATGACCTACTTAAATCATAACAATGATGTTTCAAACATTGGTATCATTCTGAACCAAGCCAAGCCACACAAGATTACAGACTACTTACACAAGAAAATAGAATTTTAATCTATCATGTGACTGCATTCAACATATTATAAAATAGCCTTCTATATGCTGTAATAAGATATAATCTTTCATGATGAATGTCTGAGACAGCCTCACCCTGATCATTATACATTGTACACATGTATTGAGATATTATATTGTAGCCCATAAATTTGTACGATTCTTATTTTTCAAAAAAAAGATATAATCTTTCATTGAGAGGCCATTAAACCAAACTTTTGACACTGGATTTCCAAGAAGCTTAGTTAAAAATAATAATAAATAAAGAATTAAAAAATAAAGGGAAACATTTCTAATAATTCTTATTTTAAAGCACCAAGATTAGTTTATACAATTTTCTTTAATCCTCAGAGTATCTTATACAACAAATGCTGCTATTGTGCCTTTGGCTAGATAAGAACCTAAGGCACAGAGAGGCGGAATACCAGCCCAAGGTTAAAAAGTTACTCTTTATTTTAAAATCAGATGTCTTTTCAATATTTATTTTATGTGTATGGGTGTTTTGCCTTCATGTATGTCTATGCAGCATATGCATACAGAATCTAGGAGAAGGCAACAGATCCCCTGGAACAGGAGCTACAGACAACTGTGAACTGCCACGTGATTACTGGGAATCAAACCTGAGTCTTTTGGAAGAACAACCAGTGCTCTTAACCACTGAACCATGCCTCCAGCCCCAAAGTTACTCTTTTTGAACTTAGTTACTGAAAAGACATTAGGTGGGAGCTAGATGATATGATTTCAAATCCTAACTTCTAAATTACTATGCTGTGCAGCCTGAAACACTCCCTGTTTTCAGTGAGTGTGTGGAGCA